CAGAGGGGGCTCAATCGTGGTGCCGCCATAGAGCTGCAGAGGCAATGCGTGAGCCACAGCCAAAACATAAACACAGCCTACCGGACTATGTCGCTGCAGCTATGCTGCCCATCTACGAAAGACTGTCACAAAAGTCGCTTCTTCAGGGCTGCCTGGGAGCGAAGACGCAAAATGCATCACAATCATTCCACCCCATTCTGTGGTCTCTGATGCCGAAGGAACAACACTCATCCTTGATCTCGGTAGAAACAGCACTGCATGAAGCAGTGCTGCGCTACAATGCCGGCTGCTGCAAAGCAACCCAAGTGATATCGGACTCCATTGGACTTCAACCAGGTCATCTGGCCATCCAGCGAGCTCGTGAAAAAGACGCTTTACGCCTAAAAAATAATTCTAAAAGACACCAAGAGAAGATGCAGGCCAGGCAAAAGAAGAAAAGAGTGCGCCAGGACACTTCTAGCTACTGTGCTGGAGCTTTTTGAAGAAAACACGTGTTTTGAACTTTCTCGGCCTGTTTTCTCAGAACGGATATTTTTGCTAGTTGTGGTGCTGAGGAAAGCAAGAACTCGAAAACCGTTCATCAGTTTTGTGTGCCGTTTTTTTTATTCTGTTCCTGAATGACCTTGCAAGGGCGTAACAAGCTCCTTTTTTTTGAAAATTGGTGCCGTTATATTATAATAATAAATTTTTCGATGAATCTGGTCATTACTGGTTACATCAAATTCAATGTTGCGTGAAAATTTTTGGGGGGGGAAATTAAAGAAAACGGCTTTGTAGCGCCCTGGGATAGCTATCAAGGAATGACCATAATGAATTTCAGCTTTCTACTATGTCCTGGGATTTCTCACGACTCTTCCTCAGGCACCCATGTGAAGCACCCAGTTAAACCTCAATAACTCTGGAACTAAGAAACACAGCTTCGTGAAACTTAGCAGTTGTGCTAGTTTTATTGTAGTGAACAACCCCTGAAAGTTTCATCCAGATATCTTAAAAAATAAAAAAGTTCGGTCTCCAGGGTAGCCTCCCCCCTTAAGTAAACACGCCTGCCGAGGTGCCAAAGGCAACCTCAGGCAGGCTACAGTCCGGCGATTCCCAAAGGGGACGCGGACGAAGGAAAACACGTGCTTACGCGGCGCCGACCACGAAAGAGAGGCCGCTCCCTCGGCGCGCGTACCGCGTGCCGCGACCGCACGTGGCGCGATCTATCGCCACGCGCCGTTATCAGAGCAGAAAAAGCAAAAGGGATTGGCCGTGCGGCAGAATGCCCGCGAAATGGTCGCGGGCGCACCTCAGATCCCCACAGATTGCAGTCACCTTGTGATTATCATGAATTTACTTCAGGTTAATTCAATGATAGTTTTACTGCTGTTTTACTGGTCAATATAATTTTATTTATTTTTACATACCGCAGCCCAATGGCAGGAGTGGCAGTAACATCACATGTCATCTGCTTAGAAAATTATTCATGGGCAATGAGTGAACATCTCATGCAATACATTTCAATATTTGATTGTTAAGGTATAATAAATGCAGTATAATCTCGGTGATGTCAACCAGGCTGATATAAATTTTAGTCTGATACGAATCCATTAAATTCTCTGAATTCCATTGCATTCAGCGGGCCAAATTTGGATGTTTTGAATGCTTTTTTTGTGTCACAACGGTTGGTATTAACTTAGGTACAGAGGTGTTGAGCTAGGGCCTTGTTCAGCGTGTTTCTAAAATATGTGCATACCCCGCACACTCATAATTGTGGTTATCTCTTGCCACAACCTCTGTGGATATCACTGCGGTTGTTATTAAAGTTGTTATTATGGAAGCGATGATACTATAAAAAGACATGCACACCCGCCTCAGTGGTCTAGTAGCTAAGACACACAACTGTTGACCGCAGGTCAAGAGACCGAATCCCAGCCGCGGTGGCTGCATTTTCGATGAAGGAGGAAATCCTTGAGGCCCGTTTGCTTAGATTTAGGTGCTTGTTAAAGAACCTATGGTGGTGTAAATTTCTGGGTCTCTTTAATATGGCATCTCTCATATATCATATCGTGGTTTTGGGACGTAAACCTTAAGATTTATCATTAAAAATTCATGCACATCTAACAGAGTGGGAGCAGTGCTGCTTACCACAGCTACGGTGAACATAACCACAGAAGAAGCAAGAATAGATAGCCGCGACCTATTGCTAAAGGCAGGTGCGTTGCCTGCACACAGGGAATGAAAACAGAACTACTGTTTGTCGCAATCGCAACATATGAAGTCGTAGTCACTGTCGACGTGATCTTGATAGCAACTATGTACTCTGAAAATGAGCGGCTGAAGCAGCAGTTGATTAAAGGCAACTGTCGTAAAAAGGCACGAAGCACTACAGCATTCCTGTCATTCTTCACTTATGACTATGGGGAGCAGAATTTGGCACTTTGTTTTCAGTTAGCCTCACACAAACCGATGACACGTACATGCCAGCTGCATCATTCCTTATTTTTTCATTTGGATGCTATACATGCGCAGTGTTTCAAAACAGAAAACATGCTTACCTTAAACGAAGAGTTGTAATTCAAAGTTACAAATCGATTCCCATGTATGTGTTACAAACAGCATTAGCAAGAGTGAATCAAAAGTGCTCATTGCACGTGACCGCTGAAAGTCCACAGCCTGCAAAGATTACGGTGTCCTTTATAACGTCTTAACATCACATCCGCATGGGTCTTGCACTGCTCAGACTGTTGATTTGCAGCTGCAGCATGTAATGTCTTTGTTACAACTGAAATGCAGACCTTCTCTAAATCTAACTATGTGTGAAAGCGGAATTAGGTTTCATTCATCCTTGCCACTTGAAGAACCGTAAAAGGCCCTTTGCAGAATGCCTTGTTTTACAGCGAAAGTTGTTATGAGATCACTTTTTGGGTCACGGGCACTTGTTGTCCGCCGCCGCCGCCGCCGCTGCCGGTGTCCGTAACCACATCGCGCGAACTTAGAAAAAAAAAAAAAAAAACTTGGACCAATGACACAGGCGGGCTTGAACCCGGGTCCGCTGCGTGCCAGCCCAATATTCTACCACTGAGTTACGCCGATGCTTATAAATTGTTGTCAAACTTGCCTTAGGCTGGCATGACCTAGCATCAACAGCACAGTGGGGCTCGAACCCGGGTCCGCTGGCTGCCAGCCCAGTATTCTACCACTGAGCTACACCGGTGCTTGTGACTTGTCAAACTTGCCTTAGGCAGGCTTGATGTTGGGAAAGCAATCACGTTAATACGACTTATAAAGCGCTTTACAACAACGAACGAACAACCAGTCGTCGCACAATGAGAATAGCGTAACGAGTGGGTCGTCTAATGCTCCAAACCATCACAAAGAGCCTACAGACATTGAGGTTGGGGATTCATAGAAATTATATTTTCAACCTTTAGTACCTTCTAAGCTGTCCCTTTTGAGTTTTTACTGTATTAAGCATGTGACGCCTATTGGTGTCATGGAAATGGCATCGGGAAGCTTTGCAAGAAAGATCATTGAACCAAATTGAGGATTGTGTTGACTGTCACCTCGGCACCGTTGAAGTCTGAAAACATTCTATGTCAAAGTTTTCATACTCATTGTACCATCTGATTACGCTTCCTATTTTTGATATTTTTTATTCTTTTTGATTAATGAAGCTTCAGATTTTTCGTGGGTTGTTTTATATAAAACATATATATATAATTTATATATAAGTAGTGCAACCTGTGACTATTTTTTTTCTTTTACTGCACTGCTTAACTTTTTAAAGTCCTTGTGATATGTCCATTTTTCTTATCTTCATTTTTGATGTTTATATTCCTTCTTGGTAAGGGTAGGGAGACATTGGGGGACCCTTTTATTGGCAGTTGCCGCAGTAATTTTCAAAGCACTTGTATGCATTCTGAGCCTCATAATATTGTTGTCACGGTAAAGAAAGCTGGCTGTGAAATGCTCTGAAATGTTGGCTGTCTGTGAAATGCATTGGTTCTTTACACCGCTCATAGATCCTTCCTGTATTATTGCTGGTGCTTGCTTTGGCTCTAGAATGAACTCGCATTGCGCGCTCAACCTTATCAGAAAATTCTAAAATAATTGAGAGCGTTCAGAGACATTATGGTTCAAACGGCGCTAGACAGTGGTTACACATGTAACGGGCTAGTTACATAAAAATTAGACTTGTGCGAATATTATCTGAATGCTTGGAATATTTGAATGAGTAATAAAGCATTCGAATTCATTTAGATTGGAATTTATTTATGGAAAATTTCGAAGTATTCGAACAGAATGAATAGGTGCATATTGATCCGCATGTATCTCTCTGTACTCACTGCAGTTGGGAGGCGCCAAGCCGTGAAAGCACATACCCAAGTGTGTATTAGTCCGCATGTGACCTTTTATAAAAGTGGTTTCATTGCAACAAAGAGTGCTAAGCCCTGATAATGCATATTCAAAGGAAACCTGCACTTCCGTGAAGCCTTACTTCAAGGTTACTTGAACATATTACCCTCACATCGATTCAATATTTTTATTTTAAAAGCTTGTTTTACCAGCTTATAAAATCTAAGCTTAGTAAATTTTAGAACTTCACATATCTCACAGGTTATTGCTTGCATTTTATCAAAAGTCAAATCCTGCTACTATTCAAAGTTGTTTCCATGTCCTTTGAACCGAAAAAATTGTATTTACACAGGTCTTGTTTCAATTAAGAAAAAATATTTTGTCAGTTAGGTTATGACTGATATGCTCCTATTATTCATAATATGTGATATACACTATTCGAATTTGATTCAAAATGATTGGAGCATCACTATTGGCTTCGAACCTAAAGCTTGCTATTTGCACAAGCGTAATAGAAGTAGAAAAAGCAGCGCATGTGGCAATATATTGTCAAGAAAATGCTTCGAGAATGGCTGGACATTCCTTAAATTTGTTTTTCTTTTTTTATTGCAACCTGTATGTACGCCAACTATAGTAACCGAATTCACGCCTGCTAAATGCAGGCGTTTCGTGTGGAACTTCTTCCGGCTGGAAAACGAGCACCTGAACAACTGCGGCAAGTTTCGAGCGGTGCGCGACATCTCTGTGGCGCCCATCGATGCTGGAAACCAGGCCCTCTTGGTACGCATGATGGACGAGCCTTGTGGCGTCGTCAATCGTGGGGGCCGGCGGGACCTGCGAAAACGTGCCAACAAGTGAGGCGATTTATGCACATCATGCCCACCGCACTGCAAGGCGCAGCATGGCTTTGGAACTGGCTGCTGGATTTGTTTCAGGCTTGGCTTCGGACTTGGTTTTGGAGGAAAAGCACGAATATGCTGTCTTCACTCCATCTCAGTGTTTTGTTTGTGGACTCTCTCTTTTTCTGCATGTGTGTTGTAAATAGTTTTGCTAACTTTAGTTTTTGAAAAGATTCGATGTGCCTTTTGTGTGTTATGTTTTGCATGAATTCTTGTTTAGCACTTTTGTTTGGACTGATATACAGGTTTAGCTTTTGCCTTGCATGACTGTTATGGCTTCTTAGCATTGCTTCTGTGCTCAAAGATGCATTGTGCTTCTGTGGTGTGTTTTTTCTTTTACCTCTTTATTCATTACTGTTTTATATTGATAGCTGACACAGACTGTCTGTCTAACATTTACCAGGACTTATGTGTGTACACATTTTGTGCATCTTTTTATAATTTCTGTTGCCCTCCTGACCTAATTGTAGACGGAATGAGGAACTTATTATTTGTAGAAGACCCTGTGAGTGTAGTTGTGGCAATTCTGTACACAAACTCTGTATTATATATTGAAATCTTTTAACTCTAATTGACGAATATTTCAAATTGTAGAGCTAGTCCTGTTGACGTTTTGTGTTTTGGATAGAAAGGAACTATCCGAAATTTGAACTGAAAGAACTGCCTGATGGTTATTGCAAACAAAATTTCGTGATTCTACTGAAGGCCTTTCTGAAAATAGTCGCATCACGTGGCCTTTCACTCGCATGCTTTTGAAACTTTGAGATAATACAACCAACTCTATACTCCATGTTACCCCTACACTCTAAAAAAAAAAAAAAATCGAGTATTTGGGGAGTGTTTCTGCTACACAATAATAAACGTCATCTACTGTCTAAAACGGATATATCGAACTCGAAGGGGATCGCGAATTAGTTCGATATATGAAAAACTTGATATAAAAAATAGAGGCTACGAGAGCTTGCCTGCAGTGGATCATCACCTACAATAGGTGTATTCAAGAATGACGAAGCGCACAAGTGCCAACGTGCACCTTCCTGTTCGTGCGGTGTTCTATATATCCGAAGGAGGGTTAAAATACCATTTGAAATAAACATGCGAATTTCTATACTTTTACAAAGGAATTTCAAGGGGATGACTTGCGAATTCGTTATACCCGAAATTTTGATATATGTGGGTTTGATATAACGGTGTTTGACTGTACTACGAGTACTTTCCTCGCGCTATCAACACGGATCCGCTAGTTCGGGGTGGTGAACGGCGCTTGCATTATCAGTGTGACATACCATTCCCAACAGGAAAGTGGCCAACACTGGGTTTTCAAGAAAAGAAACGCAAGCAAGTGAGATGACGGTTATTGTTGTGTGGCAGAACTACTCCCTGAATTCTGCATTTTTTCTTAGTGTATTGTGCGGCACTATCAAACCTACTGGGTGTAAGCAAGCCATATACTTACATAGTAAGGTATTGTTCTAATACCTGTGTAATTACCCTACAATTGGTAGGGTCGAGACATTTGCGCTTGCTTAGGACATGGTACATCACATCGATATAGATATGTTTGTTCTACTTCTCATTTAAGCTAATCATATGCATTTATTTGTATTAGTGATTGCCAGTAACGATCGTTGCTAGTCAACATGGCAGTGTCCATGCGGACGTAACTGCCCACTTCAATTTAAGCTTGTGCTTGCTACTGGCTTGCTGCGGTGACAGCAACACATATTAATTAATGAAACCAGTCGGCTCTATGTGTCATGTTACACTGAAGGCGCGGCATTGGATACATTTTGTCTTTGTTATTAAGATCAGCTGTTTATTTAGCCACACTTGTAAGCCTAATGTGCCAAGCACTTGATAATGGTGCTTGGCAATTGTGCAGTGCTCTAGTTGCAAATACATAGCTGTCGGAGGCTCAGGATGAATATCAACGAAATACAAGTGTCAGTTTGGAATTTACTAGCCACACTGTGCATGAAGACCACTTCCTATAGATTCTCAGGTGGGCGGTACCCGCATTAGATGATGCCATCCTGTACAATATCCTGGTGTTGTCGTCTGCTCTTCTAGGAGTGCTTCGTTTGTCATGTGGACGTGCTTTGCAGCCAGATTATCATTGTCCGCCGCGTTGTCCATCACGTGTCAACACAACATATGGCATTGACCAAGTCACAAGAGCATTACATGTTAAAGCTATCTAATTTTTGAAATGAAGGGAAGTCAGTGGCCCTAAATTAGTTTGCGTGGTTCGAAAAGATCTCTGCAAGTGCACCAGTGTTAATGTGGTTATAAAGAAAACAGAATTACTGACAAATTTCAGTGAATGCTCCCTTTACAAGTACGTCTTTGAACTTTGCAGAAATGGCAAATTGACATCCCCGAAGAATTTTTTCTATGGCGGGAAAGATTGCATAAGAAAAAAAAACATTGACAGCTGCCAGACATTAAAGTGGGCCACCGGCGGAGTCGCACGCGTCTTTCTTATATCAAGGGGCAGAGAAGTTTCATTATGCAGTTTGATTGTGGTCCTCCACGGAGTATAAAATGTTCAAGAAGTTCTTTGCTTTTAATTTTGTAGCCATTCAGGAGCCCGGCTTGTTATCTGCACCATTTTGTCATATCACACGGTGACGTCGCTCTAAATAGAAGCTTGAAACAAGACTAGCAATGCTAAAAGCCAGTGAAAATAATCTAACAAGGCCTAAAATAATATAAACTGCAGAAATAACAATTAATAGATAATAGTTGTAATAACCAAATCAAAAGAGCACTGGAATTTAGGCTTGGGCGAATAGTGAATTTTAGGTTTGAAGCGAATTCAAAGGGAATTGTGATTTTGGTCGAACAATTTCTAATTAATTTCCAATAGTGTATATATCATATAATAAAGAAAGAGGGCATATTTGTCATGACCAAATTAACCTGCACAATATTTTTTGAACATTCATACAACGCCTGTGCAAATGACACTTTTTTTTGCATCAAAGGAATGAGGAACAACTCTGAATAGTGGCAGGATTTCACTTCCCATGGAATGCATGGGGTAGCCTGTAAAATATGTTAAGTTTTAAAATTTGCTATGCTTAGAGCATATAAGTCAGTATAATGAGCTTTTAAACTGAGAAAAATGAATTGATGTGAGGCTAATATTTTTATATAACTTTGAAGTGGGGCTTCGTGACAGTACAAAATTCTTCTGAATGTGCGTTTTCACGGTTCAGCTAAACTTGACAGCAGTGAAGCCACTTTTTACTATATATTACATGTAAATTACCCCCGAATGCAGAGATGTTACTTGGCTCACGCCTTCCACTTGACTTGAGTAAGTGGGCGTGAAGCAAGCAGTGGAATTTATAACGCCCAAGTCTGCCTTCGCGTTTCATAGATGCTCAGGCTGTCTTGCTTGGTCAAGTCAAGAATGAGCTTCAAAGCAGAAACACACTGCTCACCTGCTAACGAGGTTAATAATGAAGTTGTTCGCGTAAGGCACGTTTTACAGCAAAAAAGGCCACACGTTTTAAAATAACTATAAAAACGAAGTGCCACAAGCATATTTTTGCCATTTGATGGCTAACGAGCGGCACGTGGTGCCTGCCGCCACAGTGATGTGCAGTGTTGCTTCTGTAAAGCCTTCATTGCCCGCTGGTTTTAGTGGCCACCCAAATGCGGCTCGTTTCTCCACGCTTGCTTGTTTGGAGGCGAAACAAGCACCGCGTTTGGTTTTTTTGTCTTTTTTTTTTTTCAATAGAACGCCATGGTGTGTATTTGTGCTGACCTGGCTCACAAGGTAACGCGATTTTCACGGTATTCGCCTTTCTATTCGCCTGTGGACATGCTTTTAGCAGGCTAGGTCACAGTTTTATATGAAAAAATAAAAAAGCGACAAGTTCTGGGAACAAAAGTGATTCGTATTCTTTTCTTGAGCTTGGTAAACAAGAGAAAAAGCGGGGGTCAGGACATTGCACTCGGCAGAATTTTGTCCCGCGGGGTGCAGCAATGTCTTGCTGCATGATGGTGAAGGGGGAGGCACATGAACAAGAAACCCGTGGTATGGAAACCTCTTTGTGTGTGTGTGTGTGTGTGTGTGTGTGTGTGTGTGTGTGTGTGTGTGTGTGCGCGCGTGTGTGTGCGTGTGTGTGTGTGCGTGCATGCGTGTGTGTGTGCGTGTGGAATTTTTTGTAGCCTTGTGCTACAAGCGATGCCTTTCTGAGCGAGAAGCAGCGCTCTAGACAGGACGAAAGAATATACGAGGCACACAGACACATCGCCGGGTCGATTTTGTACCGAAATAGACGGAAAATGTCGTCGTGTTTTAGAAAAACAGAAATAGCCTTTGCGGTTACGGAACACTTTGGCGGCGTCACCACCGGGGCTATTAATATGCACGTGTGTTTAGTCTACACATTCTGTAACGCCAGGGAACTCAGCCACTTCATAAAAGTCCCGCATAACTATAGAAAATGCCACCGGCTGGGGAAAGCGCACCAGCATCGTGTACAGGTGCTTTGCGATGAGAAGCGTAACTTTTCCTACTGCAGGATAAACTGTCGACTACAGAATGCGGACGAGATTCCTGGTGACTGTTTTGAATGTGCCAACACCGTAAAAACTGAGAGCCATCAGTGGCTGTAACACTGGAGGCACGCTCTGTCTTCGGTTGTCCCCACTTTCACGGAGCAGCAACATAGCCAGCAGCTGCCGCACGGCGTTCTTCATGAATCTGTATTGAGCGTGGAATTTTTGCTCGTCGTACAAGTCCATCGGATTTCCTCGGTCACGTAAAGTGAGTCAAGGAATCTTCGGAAGGTAGTGCGCCTCAGAAAATGCTACGCTTATGGCGAGGCAAGCAAACTCAAAAGCGGCCAACCTCCGCGGGACGTCGATTCGAGAGGTGGCCATGTTGGAATAACACATGAAGTCGCTTTCAAGCGAGCCCCGCAGCTGACTTGAAACTT